ATATATAGCAATCTAAATTTGAACGGCTTGTGGACAGGGGCGGAATCAGCCTTAATTTTTAGGGGGACAAACTTATAAATAACTGTTGGGGGTGCTGCCCCGTGATAGAGTTCGACCTTGAAGAATGTTACACTATAGGAAGCATAGCATGAAGAACTTTTAGTTCTTCTGGAACCACCGCCATAGTAAAAGCACATATATATTAGCATGTAAAACTATATACGTTAAAAGTTCATTGATTTGGAATGATACAGACAATATTTGCATGAGAGGGCTCATGCTTTATTGTATTTAGACAATTATCTATAGATAGTGCTGTCTTCTAATGTTTGGGAATAGGTAAATATTTGCATAACTGCTACAACAAGTTTGATAATAAAGCTTATATATTGGAGGGAGGCTCCAGCAATTTAGGTCTTAGGATTCATGGCGGCAGTAGAATATAGAGAATGCCTGAAGAACCAATGCGTCGCTCCAGGTTTCCACACTGTAGATGGCTGCCAGTTCTTCTTTTCAGGCAACGATCCATCCGCAGTATTTAACTGCGCCGCCTGCTCTTGCCATCGCAGCTTCCACCGCAAAAACTTTTTGAAAAGAGAGCCGGAGCGGTCGCCGTCGACGGCGGAGTCGTCGACGAGTCGGCCGAGAGCCGGCGGAATTAGAAGGAAGAAGGAGCTGTTCAGGAGGAGGCGGCGGCGGTTCACGGCGGAGCAGAAGGAGAAGATGCTGGCTTGCGCGAGCTTGTTGGGTTGGCGTGTTGGTTGGTTGAGAGCAGAGGTGGAGAGCTTCTGTGAGGAAGTGGGGATTGAGGAGAAGGCTTTCTTCAATTGGATGAGAAATAATAAGAGGAAGTATGAAACAAAGCCTTGATTTTACTTGAAGATGACCGTTGCCAATTTAGGGGATTTTTTTTTTGTTTTTTTGTTTATAATATATGAAAAATTAATCAAATTTTATATCATATTTATGTCAAAATAAATTCAATTCAATAAAATTTGTTATTTTTTTCTAGTTAAAAATATGTTGAGAATAAACTAAGTTAAAATTTATTTCAAAATATCTTAACTCATATTGCACTATTTTGAATTTAAAATGATTATAATTTATTTATTTAAAGCTATTAATACTATTATTATGTAGCAATAATAAGAGTCATAATAATATAATAATGATCATTAAGTCTTTTTTATGACAAAATGTTGAACCCAACCTCCCTCATTCCTAAAATTTTTTATAAACTTGCTGCCATCCAATGTACTTTTGATATTCCATGTAATTATATTGATGCCCTCTCATTAAAATTTCATATTATTGTGCTCTCACCTCTCATGTTGGAGAAATTATTATATGCAGAGTCGATGTATTTCATGTCGGAACTATGATAAAATCAAGTAATGTGGCTTGTATATATTCTATGTATCACTTATACATAGTATGTATAATATATATCATATATACAAGGAGAGATTATTCTGTGCGGACATCGGACACAGCTTACCATTCAGTGGCGAATCAGATGCAACCACGTCATCCTGTACCGAGTAGTATCGAGCTCGATACCGAGCAGTACCGAGCCGAGCAGTATTGAGCCATAGTATCGAGTGGCAGAGTAGGGGTTGACGTGGCATATTTTCATTAGGCTCTGGACGACGTTCGGTGTCCGCACAGAATAATTCATCGTGTACAAGACAGTTTGGTTTCATTGGAGTCCAAACATCTGGACTGTATGGACTCCGCACGTAATAATTTCTTCTCATGTTTGACTTTAAAGCTCTTGGATGGTTATACCACTAATTTAAAAGTAAATTCGTGGATATTAAAATTTCATTTGGCACAATTTTCTTACTATGTTTAAAGCAGCTTTTAAATACAAAAAAAAATTACTTAAAATTTTTTTACTAGAAAACAACTTCTAAAGCATAAAGCTTATCATAACAAAAATTTAGATCAGGAACCCTTTAGATATAAAGAATCAAATAAGCAGATAAAATGCAAACAAGTTTTAATAATAATCTCTTCAAATTTAATGACTCTATCTTAATAATAAATTTTAGTGTTCCTCAATTATTTATTGCTCCGTTAACTTAGACGGCGGTTTAGTCCTTCGCACAGAAATTTTCCTGCGGACGTTTCTACAGAACCACCTGAATTTGAACCGATTGAGGGCTCGCTCCGCTAGCGGGTCGAGCCTCCATTACGGCCTACTGTGGCGCCAAAATGTTTCAACCCCGAGATCCTGAGCAGTTTAAATGACCAAATTACCCCCACATTTATCGAACTCTGAAACGTCGTCTCCGATCCTGCTCTCACTGGCTCGAAGGGTAAACATGTTATTCTAGCAACGCATCTGCTGTCATCGTCAAACACTTTTCCGCCAATTGTTAAACTGACGGGGGATATTAGTTTTTGAATGATGAGGTGGCATGAAGAAGTCATTTAACTATCATGTTTGCTGTTCGGAGAAAACACCACTATGTTGGCTTTTCTCTGTACGAAGAGTCAACCTCGGCTCTCGTAGAGAGAACAATTATGTCATTAATCACTAATATATTAAAAAACAGAGTAAAGATATAGGATTCATATGGGACAACTTTTTTACTGCTTCTTGAAACAAATTTTTAGTACAAAAGTTTAAATTTTTGTACTTAAAAATTTCTTTAAGAAGCAGCAAAAAAGCCGTCCCAAAAGAAACCATACTCTAAGAGCAATATAAAACAAATTCAAATATGTATTATTGTATTTGGAGAGAAAAAATGATCAAAGATTTAGGCTTTATTTAGGATGACTTTTTTACTGCTTATTAAAGCAGTATTATAGTAAAAAAAATTTTAACAAAAAAAAATAACTTTAATAAGCAGTAAGAAAGTTATACCAACTAAAGCCTAAGTTATAAGGTAAATAGTCCTAACACACTCTTGTATCAATAAGGATGCCATTATAAACAACACACTCACTGATTGGATACCTTTAACATTGTTGACATTCGATTTGGAACGACTTTTTTTATTGATTTTTAGAAAAAAAAAATTAATTTTTGTACTAGAAAGTTGTTTTAAGAAACAAAAAGAGAGTCGTCCAAACAAGACTAAGGCTTGGTTTGGAACACCTTTCTTATTATTTTCTAAAATAACTTTTTAGTACAAAAATTTCTTGAACTAAAATTTTTGTACTAAAAACTACTTTAGAATGCATTAAGGCTTCGTTTGGGATAACTTTCTTATTACTTCTTAAAGCAACTTTTCTGTACTGAAAAGCG